TGTTATTTTTTTTTCTTTTTACATCATTTTCATTTCCCTCCCAGAGAGCTATCCCTTAAAACTTCATGGCAGAGAGATAATGAACTAACGTGTGGAAGAAGAAACGCATTTTTGGATGTGGCCATTGCGGGCTTTTTTTTTTTTGCTTGACTATGCTCATATGATACAGGGGTATTTCTTTCTTTTAAGTAATGAGGATGAGGTTGATGGGAGAAAAAAATTCTTTATAATTGAAATAAATAAATAAATAAATAAACAAACAAAAATTATGGGGAAGTTGGGCTAAACTAACCAACAGATTACAAGTTTAACATGTTGTAGTATTCCACTCCCATACATCTCAAGTTCTGTTAAAAAAGGGAAAGAGGTGCATTCTCAAATCTCTTTTGTAGGAATAAAGTTGGTTATTATAATTACGCACAGTTTAGTTTCAGTTCCGAGTCCATGTTGGTGTTGGTACTGGTTTTGTTACCTGCTATCAGCTTCTGAGTTTCATCTCTTCAGTGTCTCTTGCTAGCCATCCTATCTCTAGTTTGCTAGGGTTGAGTGTCTAGAAAGTATCTCCCCGTTAAGGGCAGGATAACATCTCCCTCTCTCCCTCGCATTTGGGGTTACATGACATGCCCAGGGTCACACAGATAGTGTCAAGTGTTTGGTCTGAGGCTGGATTTGAACTCAGGTCCTCCTGATTTCAGGGCAGGTGTTTCATCCCCTGCACCACCTAGCTGCCCCCCAGGATAGCATCTCTTTAGTTATGAGATCACCATAAGCCAGGAATAGGTAGTGTTCCTAGGCTAAAATTAAGTATTTTCTTTTTGCCTCTATATCTGAGACTGCAATCACAGTCCTTTGTCCCAAACTGGCTTAGAAATTCCCCAGCTCCCTTCTCACTTAAAATGAAAATGAATTTTGTCCAGAATAAAGGGTGATAGAAAGAAACAAGCCATTATCGTTTTCTATCCATCTATTCCACATTACTGCCCTTATTTTATACCAGCAGCAACTTTCGTCCCCCATACCCCTCACCCCAAACTCTAGCTTTGATTCTGTCTTTCAGCCAGCAAAAAACCTTGATGTCTCTCCCCAGGGACAAATCCCCTGGGGTACACCTGGACACTGATTTGAGTCTTCAAGGAATCATAAATTCAGCAGGGTTCCTGTTTATTCACATTGCTTACAAGTAAGTCTACCAGAAACAAGGAAAAATAGAGTACAAAACAATCATTTGGGGTAATTTTAATGATAGATCTTGTGCTGGAAATCATTGGAACAACATATAGAGTGAGAAATATGCCATAGCTATGACACAAAGCATGAAAACTCATTCAGGATTATGAGGTTTGGGGGATGGGGATGGTGGGTAGAGATAGCCTTAGCAAGGCATAAGTCAGGGGGAAAAAACCCTCAAAGTGGTAATAAGTGAATAAATGCTGGAGACTTCTCTGGGATCCCTATGGATGGCATGTGCTTAGGAAGGAAGTTGCAAACTGCCCTTAAAGTTCTGAGTGCTTTCTCCTTTGCTACTGTTGTTCTTCTCCATCCTTTGTTCTCAAAGAGGACCAATGACATCACCCACTGATGTCTTGACTCCCACATCAATCAGGTAAGGCAGAGCTGAGCAAAGTCATCAGCCTCACTCTCTCCTCCAGAGACATCAAAGTCCAGTGGCAAGGCAAAAGTCAGGATGAGTGGCAATGGCCCTGAGATGTAGTGGATGACGTAAGTGGAGGAGGGGAAGAAGGAAGTGTTTCCCTTGCTTCTGTCTTTTTTTGCCACAGTTTATTTTTTTCTATTTGTTTTAGGGGTTTGGGACAGATCCTTGAAAATACCAAGGTAGGGGTAAATCTAGAGGAAGTTTGTGGGATTGGAAATGAGAGAAAGCCCAAGGTCTCTTCAACAATTGGAGGTCTGAACCTTCATGTGAGAGTGTTAATTTGGAGAGGCTCTGGAACTACCCATCCTGAAAACTACTATAGACTCTTTGGACAAAAGATAGCATAAAACACAGGGAAGGAATTAATGTGGAGCGAGAGGAGTAACTACAGCATTGAATGAGCTGCTTATACATATTATGGAGCCTTTCTAGGGCTCCACAGAGATATCCAGAATTGAGGATATAGACCAATGTACCCAAAGGCATTCTGGTGGGATTTGCAGGAATTCCAAACTTTTGACTGGGGAGGGAGAGTTTAGGGGATTGAGAAGGGAGTTCTCTGACACTTGATTAGCTTTTATGGTGATAAAACTTTTCTGATTTAAATCTCAATGGTGGCTGTGTAAATCAATTGGAGATGAAATCATCGATGAGCTATTGTGGGTCATACCCATACTTTGTTTTAGCTCTATAAAAAGGAGTCATCTGCAGACAGACCCTTTCCCCTTTTCTTTTGGATATGGCCTGGAAAAGCTGAGAGAAGAGATATATAAGAAGCAGAATTCAGTGTAAACCTGGGTCCCAATGATGAGGCAGAAATCTTTGAAATATACAGCTTTCCCTTGAGTTGACACTAATGTATGCCTCGGGGCAAAGATACATGACAGCTGCATTTGCACCCACCTGTAGGATCTAAAAGGAGGATTCTTTGGCCCTTTCGTAGAAAAGCATTCTCAGTACCACTCTGCCCAGGAAATGGCAGCCCTGGAGAGAGAAACCATGGCCAAGTGGTTGTGGTAGGAGGTCCTAAAACTCAGACTGTTTATGGGAAAAGTAAGGTAGTCTCTGGGAGAGTAAAGGTAAGAGAGTAAAGTAAAAGTAAGGGACTGATTGAAGGTATGGGAATAAAGACAGACCTTTGCTTTGGCTCTGAAAGTTGGGTGGTAAGGAGAATGCTTTTCTAATAATCTCAAGTTTGTTTTTCTTCCAGAGAAATTATAAGCCCATAGGATACAGCACTATGGAGTTGGAGGCCTGCACGTACTCATGAATTGAATGTGGGAGTCATTGACACATTGGGAGGTTACCCCTTCAGGAATCCAAAGTTAATTTCCTTCCAAAGGGAACCCAGACCACATAGTGCTTTGGTTCTGGGGGATTTTAGAGAGTATCGGGAGAGAGAGGACAGCAGGAAGGTGAGACTCACTTGAAAGAAAAGAAAATTGAATTGATTACTTAGGGATTATTGTGATTCTCTTATGTGTTTATACTCTTCTAAACATTATGTACATTGTTACCTTGAATGCTTGTTCAGGAGATTGCAACCCTGCTACCCACATCTGTGGCTACTTCAATATGGGTTATCTCCAAGCTATAGTCTAAGATTTCCCAGGGGCATTCTGGGACAAAATGAATCAGATATGGCATCTGGGGTGACTTTCTTCAAGACAACCCCTTGAGGTTGTGGACCATGGGTTAAAAAAACACAAATGTTTCCACCTTTACACAAAATTATAGAATCTCTAAGCTGGAAGGGAAGAAGCATTTCTATAGCACCTACTATGTGAAATAGCAACTACTGATTAACCCCACTTTACAGCTGAGGAAACTGAGACAAAATAGAGGTCAAGTGACTTGCCCAGGATCACATACCTAGGAAGCATCTGAGGCTTCCAGACTTCATACCCAGGTGATCTATCCACTTCATCACCAGCTGCCTCAGAGATCTCAAGGTCATCTAACCAGAACCTCAGCAGGAAAAAAAAAAAACATGAGCAAGTCTCAACCTCTAAGCTTTAGTTTCTATATCTACATAGTCCTTACCTCACATATTTGCAAGGTGCTTTGCAAACCTTAAAGTATTATGTAAATGTCAGTTATTATTTTGCTTTCTAAGATTTCTGTTTAAACCTCACAAATGAGACCTTTCCATCCAACTTTGCCCTTCTCAGTTTTGATCAAGCTTTTCTAATTCCTCCTATGTCTCAACTCATCCTCTAGGCTCTTACTACTCCTGTGCACAGTACCACAGCAGATTGCCCAGGCTAAGTTTTATGAAGTCCTGGTATTTCACAAGATGTGAACAAAAGTTTTGTAAGGAAATTTCTAGGTTAGAAATATTTCTCGCTAAAATATTACACATGGAAATGTATCAAAACACTTACTGAATATTTTTATATTAACATATTTCATAACTCAAAGTATTCCATGGCCAAATTATTCTGGGGGAAGCTGCTACATATGAAAAAAGTAATTTATTTTATATACTGTGACTGCCCAAACAGGGCAAAGGGGGTGAAGAGGTAGGGGAGAAACATTTGTCCTGGGCCTCAAGCTCAAATGAGAACTTAAAGTTAGCAGATGAAGATATCGACATTCATCTCCAGAAAAAGGGAATTTCAATGCCCACTCCAAGTTTAAGATCAGCTGACACTACCCAAAAGCTAGCTTTTCTTCAATAATTAGTGATTTTCCAAAGGAAAGAAGCTGTGAGAGAAAGCATTAAGTTAAAAGCAGTCAAATCATGTCTCACTTTTTTGAGGTGTCTTCTTTTAATTTTTAAAAATACAATTGTAGCTACAAGAAGTCAGGAGGTCTCAGCACCCAATATTTAATTGACAATGAAAGAGGTGCACCCCAGTCAGTCAGCTTTGAGCAGGAAAGAGGCCATATAGTTCTCAGATTATCTTTTAAAAATTATTTTATTTGAAACATTTTGCTTTTGCATCATATTTGTTTATATATAAGCTACAATTATATATACACGCTTTATACATACCTTTATATATGATGTGTTTATCTCTCCACAAGATTCAAAAAGTAAAAAATAAAAAAAGCAATGTTCCCACACCTTTTCCCCACCACTGCAATTTTCTTTTCTTCTGGAACGGCAATTTGTCTTCTTTTCTGAGGGCAGGCTTGGTTTTAGGGTTCAGTTTCAGTGCTTTTGTTTTTTGAGGACCCTAGACTCTCAGAGAATGATCGAACACTTTAATGTCCCGGCACTGCCACGGTTGCCCGGTTTCCTTCACCTCCAGACAGCAGCTTACATTCCAGCCCAGTGAGCGGATAGTCTCAGCCCCTTCTCTACTCCTCCTCCACTTTCCCCGAGGTTGAGGGCGTGCCCCGCCTCTCCCTAACAGGTGGGCGTTCCACGGGGGCGGGGTTTAGGCATTCCAACATTCGAAGTAGGCGGGGCCGAGCCCCAGGCGCTGACGTCCCCCAGGTGAGCCTCAAGTTTCAGTGAAACCTAGCTGCTACTTATTAGAAGGGTGGATTTGGCCTTGGCCGGGACTTTGCACTGGATTGTGTCTTCAGGGTTTTAGGAGTGGTGGTCCAAGGAAGAACAGGAGCGGGTCAGTTCGGAGTCGCTGCGGCTCCGGTGGTTGTAGCAGCGGCTGTCCCAGTCTGGGACTGGTCCCTGGGCTGCCCCGGGAAGATGCACGCCTGGGGTCCGGCGTGGTTGCTGGTGTGCGCAGCCCTCCTAGCCGCTGCAGTCGCCTCTTCTTCCTCCTCCTCTAGCGTCTTGTCTCCAGGTAAGATTTACAGGAGGGGCAAATCTTTCCAAGCTAGGAACAAAGAGAATCTTCTCCCTGGGCCTCCGAGGGGGAAATTGGGCCTCGATGGCGTTGTTTTCGGACACCGTGGTCCCCAGAGACTCCGGGCTAGGAAGGGATCGGGGCGAGTCTGGAAAGTCTTAGTTATTCCCCTAGTTCCCCATCCTCTTCTGTAGAGGCGGAGTTTATTCTCGGCTGGCATAAAGGTGAAGGTGAAGGGATAAGCATTTCTATAGCATGTACTGTGTACAAGGCACTGTGCTAAAGCGCTTTTTTGTAAGGGAGATAAGTCTTCCCTCGCCGGCGGATGTAGAGGTTTGGAAACACCGTGGTAAGATGTTGAGGAATGCTTCTGCTCATCTCGGGAGGGCTGGGATGCATTAAGGAAGATCGTACGGTTCGAAACTGAAAAGGGCCATAGTGATCATTTAGAGTAACACTCCCTACCCCAAATTACTAACGAAGAAACTGAGCGTCAGAGAAGTTAAATTACTTGCTTAAAGTCGCACAGGTGGTAAGCGGTAGAAGCGGAGATTTGAACTCCGGTCTTTGGGTTACAAGTCCCGTGCTTTACCTGCCACACCTAAGTGATTCGGGTGGCTACTCTTCCTCTCTGCTGCGGATCCGACTCTTATCTTCCACCTAGCCAGCAAGCGTCTGGATCTCCCTGAACCTCTGATGGGTGGAATGGCTGCCAGCTGTGCTGGGCTTTGGGGGTTATATCATTTTGCAAACATTAAGTAATTATAACCTTTTGACAAACCCCTGTGACTTCCTTTGGCGGGTCCCACGGGGTGGGAGTGGGGGTGGGCTGCTATAGTTCGGGGACTATTGCCTGGCCCTGGAGCATTGAGACAAAAGCTATTGCAGAGATTCGTTCCCAGGGGAGTGTCTTTTGCTTTACGATGTAAAGTTACACTCCTCAGACTCTAGGACTTAGCTCCATGTGTACTCACTCTCCCCTTTGAGTCCTTTGAATGCCCTAATTTTTCCATTCTAAAACCTTTTGTCCCAAATTCTCCCCAGCCCCTAAACATCCCTGACACGAAAACGTCAAGCCACTGTTCAAAGTCTTTTATTAGGCATCCTTGAAGAGTCCTAAGCCTTGGTACCCAAACGAGTGTCCTGGCATTTTAAAACAGCAGATCCTCTCAACCTCTTTAGTCACCCGAGGTTCTGAAGTTAGCCTCAGTGTTTAGGACAACTCGAATGTCGTGCAGATTTTAGACCTTTGTTCCCCTGACTGTGTCTTCTGGTTATCACATAACTCAGCAATGCTCTTTTTAATGATAGACACACAGGAGACAAATCCCATCTGCCCTGATCATGTGGCAGTGGACTCTCCTGCTTTCTGTGTAAGCAAAACAGAACAGGATAATACAGCACAGTACAGTACGTGGGGTAGTCCTTTGTTGCCAGCGTTCTTGGTGTTCTCGTTAGACCTGTGTGTGTTGTCTATATGAAGAAAAACATGACAGGCCTATTATGGAATGAGCCCTGACTAATCCTGCAAAGATGGGATGGGAGATAGCTAGTTTGAGAGTGAGAGTATGTGGTTTAAATGGGGATCCAATCTTTAAAGATACTACAAATAATTACAAAAAATACAAAAGTGACCAACGTTTATTTTTTGTATGTTGTCTCTTAAAAAGAAATTATACATACTTTGATATGTCCAAGAGCTCATGGAGACTCCAAGTGCCTTTATTTAAGATAAAAAATTCAAAGCTACACTTTTTACCCACTGTAAAATCTTTTTTCAGAGATTCAGCTCTTCTCATTTCTGCACAAAGGAGGGAGGGAGGGAGGGAGGAAGGGAGAGAGAGGGGGAGGGAGAGAGAGAGAGAGAGGGAGAGGGAGAGATCGAAGTTTGTGGAATGAGATTGAAAGAACTTTGTGCAAGTTATTTATTGCCAGTTAGGAAAATGTTGGGTAATTGGATAATAAACGCATATATAGGCCATAGGTCTGTTTTCTCAAGATAAACAGAATTTATTCGATTCTTTCACATAAGAGAATAGCATTTAGCTTATCTGGTTTTAGGCCTTTGGAAGCTGTGATTTCCCAATTTGCCAATCTTTTCTAAAGATGAAATAAGTTGACAATCCTACAGTTTTATGCAGATGTTTAAGATTTAGTTTTGTACAAGTGGAAAATACATAGCGGTTCAGCAAGTTCCTCTTTGTAGGTGCTTTGCACTGCGCTAAAGACACACAGATCAACTGCACCAGTAACTCTGAGTGTTGTCAGGTAGAGGGTGGGTCAGTAGTATAAGGGCTTTGTGAAAAGCTACAAGTTACTGTTTAACTAAGGCTCTTTAATATTATATCCCAGCTCTTTTCCCACATAACTAGGCAGTCATTTTCCCAAAGGTGGTTAAGTGGTACTTTGGTATTTATATTAAATGAGGTTCACTGTTTCATTTGAAAGGACTGTCACCTCATAATCTATCCATCCCTATCACTGACAATGGAGTTCCCTGCTTTTAGACAAAAGAAGATTTGTAGTAGGACTAGGTGGGCAAGTAGGCAGATAAAGCCTGGAGTCAACAAGACTTGAGTTCAAATGTGGCCTTAGACACTAACTAGCTTCAGGATCTTGGGCAAGTCACTTAACCCAGGAGTTTGCCTCAGTTTCCTCATCTGTAAAATGAGGTGGAGAAAGAAATGGTAAACCACTCCAGTATCTCTGCCAAGAAAACCGTAAATGGAGTCACAAAGAGTCAGACATGACTGAAAAACGACAGTAAGGCTAGCTAGCTATGGATGTCTGCCTTATCTACCCCTCCATCTTGTACTTCCATTTTTTTATTGCTGTCCTCCAATGTGCATTTTCTTTCTTACCTCTCCTTTGTGCTCCTCAGTTTTGTTACAAGTGCTGTGTACAACTCACTTGAAGCTACTAACTTTTTTTCCTTAAGGTATTTTCTCAACAATATGTATAGAATCATTCCATTCAATCAACATTTAGTCAGCTTTTATTATGAATAAGGATCTATGTGAAGTATTGGATAGCTTATGTTATGTGATACTTTAAGGTTTACAAAATACTTTCTTCAGAAGGACTCTGAGAAATTGACAGTGAAAATAATGTTATTCCCATTTTGCACATGAGGAAATTGTGACTGAGAGAGGTTTAGTGCTCAAGGGGTAACCTAAATATCATCTAAGAATTTTACAGAGTCCAGATAACTTTGACTCAGAGATAAGCTAAGCTTGCTGCAGAGGCAAGGCTGATCCTCGTGTCTCTATGTGACTGGCCTCTCTACTTGCATGATGTCTATTGGAAATGCCCTACCTCACTTGTTATTAACAATGAAACTCTTTTCCTGGCTTTCTTTAAATTTTAGACCAAATTCCACTTTCAGTGGGAAGCCTTTCTTGGGATACCATTCGCCCTCCCTGGCTGCTTCCCCTCTGAGACTACCTCCCATCCACTCTAGTTTTCCTGCTCATCACTAATTATCTACCTGTTGTCTCTTCCATTAGTATGTGAGCTCCTTGAGAACAGAGAGTGTTCTTTGCCTTTCTTTGTGACCTCCACACCCCACCCCCCTTTATCTCATTGCCTGACACATAGGAAACACTTAGTCAATTAATACCTATTGACTGCCTGATGGACATGGTCCTCTCAGGATGGATCCCTCTTTTTAGTGAATTGCTTGTTTTAAATTTATCTATCATTTTAAAAAATAACACACTTTTGACTGCACACATATTGCTTCCTCAGTGAGGAGGAGAGAAAGAAGGTAGGGAGAGAATTTGGAACTCAAAAAATTTTTAAAATAAATATTAAAAATTGTGTTTACGTGTAACTAGGGGATAATATTGAATTAAAAATAACATGCTTAATAACCATCAACAAAGGCAAAACTTAAATATATAAAATAAAGGGAAAGATCACACATAAAACCCAGAACATATTATATCATACATTCTAACAAAAGACAATCAAACAAATGAATAAACTACAACTTTTCTGTGTTCCCCTTCTCATTTCACTCCTTTTCCTTTGTTTTGTTTTGAATTTTTATTTTTTTAGGCAATTGGGGTTAAGTGACTTGCCCAGGGTCACACAGCTAGTAAGTGTCAAGCTTTCGGTCTGAGGCCAGATTTGAACTCAGGTCATCCTGATTTCAGAGCCAGTGCTCTATCTACTGGGCCACTTAGCTGCCCCAGGCCTTTGTTTTGTTTTTATATAGGTATAGTCTGTATATATACTGTTCTATTACTGCTTCTCTTGATTTGCATAATGTTCAGGTTTTCTCATTTTTTCTATTTTTCATAGTACTTTTGCAGTGCCATAGCATTTTATCACATTATTTACTATAATTTAGAAATCACTCAATTATTGGACAAATATATAGAATCCAACCTTTTGATCTTATAAATAAAACCGTTATGAATGTTTGCTATTGATCTCTTAGGGTCTTTGTGAAAAAAATGTAAACCTTAAAGTGCCACATAAATGAGAGTTATCCAAAAAGGATGACTCCTTTTTTTTCCTTTTGGATAAGAGTATATGTATCCATAGCACAGGGCCTGGCCTACCACCCATGTAATAGATGCTTATTGATTGACTGTAGAGTATGATAGAAAAAGTGTTGGACTTAAGCTTCTGACACTCACTTGCACTGTGAATATGGGCAAGCCTTTCAGAGCCTCAGTTTTCTCATCTGTAAAATGATGAAGACAATATTTTCACTATCTCCTTTACATGATGTTTTAATATCTTTTAAAATAATTTAAAATTAATTTTAATAAGTAAAATAAAACAATGAACAAAAATCTATTTTCTTTCCCTCCAATCTCTCCCCACCCCCAACAATTGAAAGAGAAAGGAAAAACAAGACCCTTATAACAACAAATTCCCACTGTTGTGAGGATAAGATGAGATAATATTTGTGAAGTGCTTAGCATAGTGCCCAGTACATAGAAGGCACTTCATAAATGCTTGTTTCTCCTCCACGGTTCGTGTCC